TGAACACATTAATATAACTCAATCAGAATAAATAACCGAAGAAGAAATAAGTAAGTGGAGTCTAGTCATGAACAGAGACTACGGAAATCCTAAAACTCGCCTGGAAAACTCAAAACTAGAAGACAGGCATGTATTCTATGTATCTTCCTAGACACAATCGCATAACTGAAAACTTTATATAACGACAACACGAAGAAATGTTTCTCTTCGTGCCATTCATATGATTTTATGTTTGAATCGTTCATATGATTTCAAGTTTGAAGAAAAGGTTCTGGATACCCAAAAGAAGAGCAGAAGTTAAAACAGTCTTCAATAAGTGTATTGAATCTAAACGATGGAAAACGAGATCATTTAAACTACGAACTGTGACTATACTGAAGTTCAGGTAAGACGTTTCCCAAACGATTTGTCGAAAAACCGAGAACCGTACTTTAAAGCAATCAAAGCTTTTGTATAAACCATTTCTTAGGCAAAGGATTCATCACATCATAAAAAAATTAACTATAACGTTTTCCCTTACCCAGTGATGAATATAAATTGGTGTCGCAAAATATAATTTCGCGAAAACTCCAACCAAATAATAAGGTAGAGAAAAACTAATAAAACTAATTAATCATTTTTAAATTGTAAACAACCTTATTGTATTATAAACCATCTCTCCATAAATTTGGCTTCTTAAGATTTACTACCCATGTAATTTTATGTGAAACTAGCTCTCATTATAATCTCGTCTTTATATGATCTTAATTTAAACACTACCAATTCCTCGCATATATGATTTTACCATATACATGTTTAACCCGTCACATATATGACCTCATTGTAAACAACTCCAATTCCTCACATATGTGACTTCATCTTAAACACACCCAATTCTCACTCATATAAATGCAATCCTAATAAACAAAAGATTATTGCCCACTATAAGCCTTCATAACCAATCTCAATTTCCTCCCATTTTATAAAGCCTATTTCTACTGTTCAGATTACTAATAATACGTTTTTGTAAAAATAAAGATTCATTAATCTCATTACTGTATAACAAAAACCTTTCACGACAAATTTATTTGGTACCATGAGCCGGGAATCATGTCTAGCAACATTATTGCAAGCATCCAACCCGCAAAAGAAAGCTTAGTTAATCTTCTTAAAGAAATAAATTTAATGGGGATCAAATCTCCGAAATCAACTATGACAATAGAAGAAAAGACGATTTTGATATAATAGGAAAAAGATTATTCGAAGATAAACTTCAAAGAATCCAATTATGCGTAACTACGCTTGAATCTATCAATGAAAAATGGCTTACATATACTCAACAAATCGTCACAATGAAAAGAAGAGAAGAGGAGGAAAAATACAAAGCAGTAACAGAAGGCGACCAAAGAATATTTCACTTATTGCACGAAGGAAAGGAAGCGATAATAACACTAACCATGCACAAAGATGAAGCTGACCAAAAGTTAACGCGACTCTCAAAGGAGTTAACAAGCAAACAAGCAAAGGAAGAGGTAAAATTTACTCCTTCTTCAAATATTAATGTAAATCTTCCCCATTTATCGCTCCCTACTTTCAATGGAGACCCTAAACTGTCGCGAATTATAATTTCGCGGAAACTTCTAAGCAATTTCATAATATCATAAATCATATCTCCTTTTTAAATTGTAAACAATCTTACGGTTTCAAAAATCATCTCTTCATAAATTTGGCTTCTTAAGATTTATTACTCATGTAATTCTATGTAAAATTGAAATTAGCTTTCATTTTAATCTCTTCTTTGTAAACACTTCCGATTCTTCACACATGCGATTTTTATCTTAGACACGCCCAATCCTAACTCATATAAATTCAGTTCTAATAAACAAAAGATCATTATTGTCGATTATAATCCCTCATAACCAAACTCAATTTCCTCCGATTTTTAAACCTATTTCTACTGATAATACGATTATTGATAATACGTTTTCATAAGAATAAGGACACATTAATCTCACTGCTGTATCATAAATATTCGAGTATACGACGACAACCTTTCGCGACAATCGATGTATATGTAAAATACTACACAAATCCGATATGCTAATAATGTAAAAAGAAAAACCTTCATCTTTTGTACAATCTTACGTACAGTTTAAGAAAATTAAAGAAATTCTGATCTTAAATTTTATTCTACCTCACCAGACTTGTCTACAATATATAAAAGTCCTAGTTAAGCATTTCGATTCAATAATTAAAATCCTTAAAATCGAACATTCTACTGCACTACTTCATCTCCAAATTACTGTACTGCGGTGTTAACAATAAAACAATCCAATTTTCCACGTAATTCAACCGAACGCATATAAGTTTTCCTTTCCTTATTATAACAAACTTATTCATTAAGTTAAAAATCAACCTTTTCACAATGAAAAAGGATTTTTTTTTTGATGTCATCAGCGGGAACTCCATGGCTACTAATCTATTTAAAGAAGTAAAATGATGCAAATAAGACCACCGGATCAAACTTTGACAGCGGAGCAAGTACGCAAACAAAAAATTTTATCAAGTACGAAAACGAATGACTGAGGATAAAGTTCAAAGACTGTAACTCTGCATCTATACCTTGGAATCTATAAATGACAAATGGCTCGATTATATTCAGAAATCTACTACCGCAACAAAATCAAAGGATGAGGAAGAGATCACAAAGGGAAATGATGGGTTATTCTGAATAGTCATAAAGGTAAAGAAGCAATTATAACATTTGTCGTGAAAGAAGATCTCATTCAAGTAGACTGTACAGCTGAATAGTTGTTGCTTTACAGAGAAAGCAACGTTTGATCATTCATTATTTGATTAAGACAAAGATTATTTTTGGTCGAAGTTATTGAACAGTATTAGAAAGTTTGAGAAAGTAGTTGTAGGAGAGCAGTGAATGACAGATTGTTACCTAGAGAACTTAATCTCGATAAAAGATATAATTCCTAATATAGTAAGCATTAACTCAGTTAACTCCTAAATACGACGCATGTTTTACAATGGCTAAACAAGGTGCTATTAACTGTCACGGAAGATTTGAAAATTTAATTACTATTTTGAGAGAGGTTGTTGATTTCGGGCAGATTTGTTGGATCTAGATATAAATATGCGAGGCAACAAAGGAATATAATAATTCCTTTATTAGCAGAAATAATAGTACAATAAGTTGATAAAGAATTGAAATTGAACTCTCCTGGTTCTTGGTAAAAACACACAATGCTCTCTTCAACGAAGGTGATCTTTTTATATAGCAAGCAATATGCGTTAACAAAGTGTATGATCTGCCGAAAGAGTAATCGATCTAACAAAGAGCTGTTGACCTGGTTTATCAATTACTAATTGACAAGAGGCAAAGGACATAAGTTAAGCAAAAGTTCTTTTTTTTCAGTTAAGTAAAAGTTGCTAACCTCATAGATTCAAAGATAATTTACAATGAGTGGCTACAAAAATGAGGTTAACTAAATGAGGAGTTAGCACCGTGTAAACAATTATAAAACATTTACAGATTAAAAATAAGATTGGAAATAAAGAGTTATAAGCATTATTTTGAAGATTTCATAGAACGTATTTTTTACTCATATTATCAACTTTCACATAATATTTTAGAGTTTCACGGTATTAAAATACGCAACACTGACTTCTAATAAAACTACAACCAAATTCAGGATTGCTTATGATGCTTCAGTGCATCCGAAAGGAGTGATATCATATAAAATTACAGATATCATATAAAAATTCGAAGTGATATCATAACAATAAAAAATTATCAGCTACACTGAATTTGGAAGATTATGAAAACATAAAGGCTGGACATAAGAAAGAATCTCGAAGTAAGTAACAACATCCGCGACTGAATTAGCTTATATAAGCATGAGGAATTTAAGCTTTAATGAGTATAGGAGAATTTCTTTCTAATGCTGATTTAACGAGAGAATACCTGAATATGATCCAACAAAAGAAATTTCCCGGATCTCAAATTGATACCATTCATATGAAATTAAAACCATGAATTGAAAAGAAATTAACTAAAAGAACGGTCCCATATTCGTTGTTTCAGAATAATGATCCAATAGGTTTCTTAGTTTCTTCGATGATACAACTTATACTATTTATCCAACATTTGTGGGACGAAAATTCCTAATTCCTGTAGCTATATATGTCGTGCAAGATTTAAAAAATTATTTTGGGAGAGCTTTACTGATCTCGCGAAGATTCGTTTGATGTAGATGTTAATATGCGGGCAGCACAGGAATATAATAATTTGTTTATCAACAGAAGTAATAGTACTACAAACTTTATAGAATAGGATTGTGCAAGTAGTGAAAACCCCTTTTTGTGGTCGAACTGCCTCTTGGTTGAGCTCTCCTAGTTCTTCGTAAACACAAACACACTTCCCGCTGAACATGAGTGACCTCAGCATATAGCAAACAATATGCATAAACAAAGTACATGATTTATAATACGAAGCTGATCTGCCGAAAGAATAATTAGTCTAAGACATCGATTAAGCAAAAGTAGTTAAATTACGATATTAAAATCCGCGACATTAACCTCATCAAAAATCAGAACCCTTTTTTTAATATGGCATTTGTTAACGCCAAAAGTATTACTGCTAATGAGACTAGTGAAACATAAATTTTGGAAACTAGAATTTATAAATATTCAAGAACAACCTAATATATCGTCCATGATGCTCACGAAAAACAAAAAACTCAGAATAAGAAAAGCAACCGCATTTGAACACATACCTACATTAAATTATTGCTTAAAAATATATATGAGATATTTTATCGGGTGGACTAAAAGTACTAATGATACATGGTGAATCAGGAAACAGAAGTCTGAAAAAACAGCTTCTTGTTAAAAGTTCATCATTTTTAAACATAATAACGTAAGACTTGGACTATTTCCATAAACAGTTCACTTGGACTATTTCCATAAACAATTATGAATTCAAGGATCATACTTTTATCACAATTTATTTATTCATCATGTTCTAAATTAATTCGCATAAAATTTCGGCCATCACAAAGTTGCCGCGTTAATGCATTTACTGATGGACCATGCGTCACCAGAAGTACTGTTCCTATACAATTAAAATATCCAAATGATTCTAATTACAAAATACAATTCGACTAAAATAATCGAATTATAATCCGAATACTGCAAAATGCATATTTTTCATACTTAAAAAACTCATCTTACTTATATGCATATCCCCTAGTTACGATGTTTAATAAAGTAGAAATGTTTGCAAGTGACAAGAGTTTGTAATGTGAAGGTGTTTCAAAAAGCAAATCCCGGAAACCCTCAGGTTAAAGCTAATAATATGTTTTCCTATGAAAACTCTACCTTCATTATGAATGGAAAGTATTTTACGGACCAATGTAAAAGATCTTTCATAAAAATCATTCAGTGTTTCATTTACGCACAGCTCATTTGGTTTTAGGAAAGGTGTATAGTAACTACTGATTGGATAACCAAGACGACTAAGCTCTTCTGGGTCATCAAAGATGGAAGACCATTTCGACACCAATGCATCCACTCATAAAGTCCTGGCTCAACGCTGATCCTAAGTGTACAACTATCCAGACCTACAAACGCTTCAAAAGAGTCTGAACAAGAGATGGCATCATAAATAAATACCTATTTGTTATTAAGTCTATGAGCATAAAAAAAAAACCCGAATTAGAATAAGCTAAAATAAAACCTTTAATGACGCCAACAGCAGTTTGCACACATCGTAATGCAGCAGAACAGTAAACATAGTCTACTTTCACACCATGGTCTCGCAAAGCTTGGCCTGGAAAAACAATAACAAGTTCAATGTACTGACGATGTGAATAGGTGAGATACAAATTAATTTAAAAGAGAAAACACCGACAAAACTTGTTTTCTCATCCCATACTGCCGTAGTTATCCTAAATTTGATTACAAAAACTAGAAGAAAAAAGAAGAATCTTTCTAATACCAGTAAGTATATGTCTTGAAAAATTTGAATCTTGAAAATAAAAAATGTGAATAATAGTTGAGGCAATAACCAAATGCAGATAGTATAGCCTTAAAATACCACCGAAATCAAAAACAAAATAAAAAAATAATGAAATTATTAACAGAAAATAAGACAGAAAAAATCAGGATAAAGCAAAAACTGAAGCAATACTACGAATACAAATGGAAAAAAAATCAAGAAAAAAAGATTTGAATCTGAGGTTAAAACGCAAAAACTGGTGGAGATAGAACATTTGAAAATAACCTATCTAAAACCGTTATTATACAGGATTATAACAAATAGATAAAAAGATTATGTATTAAGTCCCGTGTAAACATCAGTTAAAGGTTATATATATCCATCGAAGAAAAAAACAATAACCCATATCTATGCAGTTTAGCAAAAGTCTTTCAAATGAGTAATAAAATATATTATTACCAAAAGCTTGTATTTTTTTTCAAATCACAGTTTCAGCAATTATTGAATATATAAAGTAGTAGGAGAAATCAAAACACACCGTTAACAAACAAGCACGAAGACCAATATTCAAAAGCAAAAACGGAAAACCTGTGAGTTTCGACTGCAAATATCCCATTTCTGTCAGCGGTGTATCATATGCAAACATTTCGAAGCCATCCTTATGTTTTGGTAAATTTCTCGATAAATTTAAATCAATTGGTGGTATTTCCCATTGACACTGAAAGCTTTTTTCGTCCAGTTAGTTCCTAGAAATGAATGATGAAATTATACTTGGTTAATCAAAAACTGGATTGTCTTCTGAACAGATCAAGCTAGCAACATAAACTTCTTTTCTGTCACCTGAAACCATAAAAAGAAAAGCGAAATAATATAATGCTGTAGGTGAACTGAAAGAAATATTAACATTTTTTAATCTTCTTGATGTCAAGCCAGGATCCTCTTTCTGATATCGCATAATCAAAAAGCCAGTATTATCATAAACTCCGTTTTTTAAAAAATCTGAAGCTTCTCCCTTTTCATTATTTTGGATCAGCAAGGAAACAACAACCACAGAAATTGACATCGGTTATAAAAGTAACACGAAACCTTGCTGGTTGAAAGTAAAATCGCAGCGTTCTCCGTGCCGTACAACTACAACCGCCTTGCCGATTTCTCCATTTCTAATAATGTGGTTCTCGAGAATTTATGGAAATGAAAAAAATAAAATAAAATGTCACGAAACACTAACAGTAAAATATTGGGTGACAAACAGAAAATAATTGCAGTGTATTCCTGAAAAAAAAACAAAAATAAGTACGGCAAGTGACACCAACCACCAACACAATACACTTCCGAACTATTTCGTTATTTGTTGGTTAGGATGTAATAATGGAATAAATTGAATTCATTCAATTTAAAATCACTTCAGGATTAGAGGAAGAGGGAGCCATAAAGACGATCTTTTCTTGTTTAATCAAGCTGTGGTGAGTAATTGGCAGCATATCTGATTTGCATTAACTTTGAGTGCTAACTGCTGCATTTGTTAATCTGGTCAAGCAAATATCATCAAACAAGGAGGGGACCAGATGATAAATTTATTATTAGTTTTCAAAGAAAAGAACACCGGAACAATCATCTTCAGTTTTATAGGAGTGTCAAGGAAAAAAAACAAAAAATGTTCTGCGAGGTAGAAACAACCCAGTGACAAGATTTTTGGCAGGAACTACTCATGAAGTTCGGTTCTATTTGAGTGATTTGAATGGTAACTCGGTATTTAGATATTTTGTATGTTGACGAAGTCCACCATATTAATATTGACTTTTGTTTTTCAGGCTTTTTTTTTTTTCTTTACAGTAGTAATGGATAGTTTCTCTTCATCTCATATTGTATCTCGTAAATCGGAGAACTTTAAACAATCCCACAACAATTATCGTGGGTGAATAGCTGCAACTCAATTTCAACCGTAAGAAAAATTTGTCTAATCAACACTCGACACCACAAACAACGAATTCGAAACAATGTTTCAACAATTTTGACTCCCCAACGCAAACAAGGACATACAGTCATATTTTAAAAACCATACAATTTGCATAAAATTTCATACAATCCTCGAGGACCAAAATTCATCATTGTCAACAAAGCCCGCGGTTATGGTCTGACTGCTCAAAGCATTTAGAATTTACCGAAGCTTTCAAATGTATACAGTATCAAGAGAACCAAAACTGATTCCGTAAGAAGATTTACACATTTTTATGCACTATATTTCTGACATGAATTGACTCAGTCGTACAATGTTTCCCACTGACAGTAAAAATATTTATATGCAAATGAAAACATAGAATAATATGTCAATATGTAACACTATCATAAAACACGATCATACAAACGAACCATAGTTTAGCAAAAGGAAAAAAAGAGAAATCAATCATAACGTTACAGGAAATAACAATAAAACTGATTTTTAAAAAAATTAAAAAAGCAAGCAAAGAATGTAAAGTATATATAGGACAGAAATGACGGAACCGCGTAGTTCTCATTTTTTGTTCTAGATTTCCACTAAGTACACAACTCAACGTGTGGACCAACTTTGAATGCAAGATTGTTCCATTAAAAAATTAAAGCTCAGCCAAAAATATTTTTCGAAATTATGAATGGATTTGAGCATGCTAGTGAAGCAACAAAAATTACCATGAAATTTCTACCTCCTCAGCTCCAAAAATAATATTAATCGTTAGAAAAACTCAACTACCAGACAACATGGAATGAATTATCGAATTTGCTTGCATTTCATAAATGCGTTAAAATTGTAATTCCTTTTGGACTGGAGGCTCTTAGAAATGTTCCTTGTTAACGCAACTTTTGAAAAACTATTATATAATTTTGGAAAGCGATAGCTGTCGATTTTCGCGTGATAACCGAGAGATTTCCTCACCCAAGGTATCGATGTTATTCTGAAAAATAATGCATGGCTTTTTGCGGAATTATCGATTTTTCTTGTTATAAGATAAATTCATGTAATTTACAGTCGTATATTTTGATGATTTGTCTTACCTTAAGTGTGATATTTTTATGCAGTGCATCTTCGAGCACAGCTTGTAGGCGTGAATTTACTTCCGTTGCAAATTTCAATTCAGACTTTCCAGTGGCACCATTTGCAGTGCTTGTAAACAAGTTCCCTATTAAAGAGAACGAACTACTATTACTACTACTACCATTGGGTCCACGTGTTATCTGTAAAAGTCGTGTCATTTTGAAAAGTGAAATGAAATTAAAAACAATTATGCATACTCTGGAAAATTCATGCAAACAGAAGAAGTTTTTCTGGAAGTAACCAGACTGGAACTGTCAATACAAGAAATGAAGTAACAGATTCGATTACTTGACCGTCACTGTTCTCCATACTAACTGTCATCACATGATATGAGAAATAATGGACGAAGGAATAAATGGCAATAAAATACAAAAATTCATATAATTCTCTGTTCGTACCCTCATATTCTGGAAAAACTTCATGTGCTATTTTTCTTATCAAATATTTATATGATGCAGTATAACAGGTTTCTCTACTGCAGCATCGCGCAAATCTTTGTTTTCTAAATAAAAAAAAAACCGCATTTTCAAATAATAAAGAATCAGAAGTGGTTTTAACTTTAAACCTAATCTCACATCCGACCCAAATTCAAATGTATTTTCAGTCTAAATAATCTTTATCCTTTTTAAATAATTATCACTCTTTCCTAAACTCGTGATTGAAAGAAATGGGAAATAAAAAAACATCATTAACTTACTTCGACGACTTCGCAAATTTCGAGCAACTGTAAACAAACTTTAAAATTAATGCACACTGAAATTCACTTCCATAACAATTCTTGGATTAAAAACAATAATCAAACAGAAGTCTTACTTTATTCAAATCACCTTCTGGTAACAACAGAGACGCCTCTTCCCGTAGTGCGAAATTTTGAATAATCCTAAAAACACACAAAATTTGATAAAAACAAGTTATAATTATTGTCTCATAACTAGTAAAAATCAAAACATGTTAACCGTACCTGTGTCATTTAGCTTATTCAAATCTCGTATTATTGTTTTTTAAAAAAAAAAAAAAAAATTTATATAACAAGTTAACTATGTTATAAAATAAAGCAGCAAAGTGATAGATATAACCTTCCAAGCCAAAAAAAAAAAAAATTAGTGAAATAAAGAAGCATTATTCTATATTGTTTTCTCCTCCTTCACCAGACAAAAACGTATAAATTCTTTACTTTGTTTTCTTCAACAGTTCCTGTGTACACTGTCGAACGTGTTCTTCCAGAAATTCTATCTTATCTTGTCGTCTAGCCAACTGCTGTTGTAGCTTCACAATCTTCTCAATCATTTGCTGTTGCATATGATCTGTTGCATGATAATTCTTCGAAATTCACTCCAATTTAATTTTTAATATGCTTTTCATGCAGAGGTATGAAGGAAATAAAGACAAACCTATAATAAAACAGTTACATCCTACTTACTTGCTTCGTCTGATGAAAGTGATATTATGAACTGCTGAGATTCCTTTCGATGAGTAGCAATTCGACTGATGGAGGTAGAGGTACAATCAATAGCCAGTGGAAATATATCAGTGGACGATGCCATCGATGACGTTCGAGATGAAGTAGATAGACCCATTGCACCTGCAAATGATGAGGAAATTAAATGAAAACCAATGTTTTTTCTGACTGTATTATGGCATAAATCGACTATTGAACATTCGTAAAACCAAATTTCGGATTTAAAGAAATGAACAATACTCCACCGCTAGGTAGCACATTAAGTGACAAATTATTTTCTACTGGTGGTGCATTTGGTGGGGATGAATTCGGACTTCGAGATTGCAATTTACGTAAATGCTGCACTTCAGCGCGTAATTCCTGTAACAAACTTAAAGTCGTTCACAAGGTTTCATTTTAACATATACTAACTAAAAATTATTTAACTACCAGATTTTTTTGGGAAAAATAACCTTCAGAGAACTCGAATTCTTTTTCTTCAGTACTTTCTGTTCATTACGAAGTTCATTAATAACTGCATTCAACTTCTGCTCTGTAAATTCAAAGACATACAAATGAAAAAGTTGCAAATTCTCAATTTCAAATTTTGATTTCTTTATGTACATTTTCTCAATCCATTTTCCACTCTTGCGGTTTGGACGACCCCATTACTTATGCTAAAATGAGATTTTGAAAATAATAACTAGTAGCATACATTTTGAAATGAACAAAAAGACCTTTGGCAATATTTGTGTCAATTTGCTGCCGTAGTGTTCCAATTTCTGCAGAACTATCAACTTTTAACAATTTCAGCTCTCGTTCCAATTCGACAACACGTCTTTCAGAGAATGACAAAGAAGATTCCAACGTCTTTACCCGCTGACTTAATTCCAAATTCTGAAAGAAAGAAATTAATGGTAAGCATTTAAATACTTTGATTTAAAGGGTCACAAATCCAATCTCAAATATACATGCTTGCATTAACAATACATCACGGCACCATCAATTTGTTCGTGATGACATATATTTACAATAACATTGACTGAGAGAGGAGGAGAGCAATTTTCCGTCCATTTTCCTGATTTTTTTGAAAAAGGAAATCAAACCTTGCATCTGAACATTTCCTGCTGTGAAGTTAATGAAGAGTTTTTATCGGCTAACTGCTCAGTGATTTCGAGCATCCTTTCCGCCTGCTTACGACATTGTGCTGCCTCCGCTTCCGCTTGGTCACGCTCCGCAGCTGCATCTATTGTCGCAATCTCTGCCAGCTTAACACGGCGCAGATTACTGCAAAGAAAGATGAAATTTGCTCAAGTTTGCACTGTAAAACAGACAAAATAAATTAGTTGAATCAACCTTCAAGTCTTAGAAGTCCCAATTTGTTTACTTATGAAAAAAAAAAAAAACCGTAAAACAAGCCTATTAAACAGTGCCTGCACTTCCTCCAGAGACTCTAATTTTTCCAAAGCAATTCGATGAGTTTGACGAGCCTGAATGAGTTCCTCACTCAGCTGCTGAGATTCTACCTGCAACTGAGCGTTTGCCTGCTTAGCGTGGTCGAGCTGTTGGGAGAGGGTGGAATTACGTGATCTGCAATCAAAAATCATTTCTAAATACGTTTACAGTGTTCATCTAGGCACCTACGATACGAAAAACTGATTTCAGCCTCACCTAAGCGAAGCCAACTCGACACATACATTGTTATAAAGCTCTTCCTGGTTATTTGTTTTCTTTATCGCTGCATCCATTTCTTCAGCACATTGCTGTTCTAATGTCTGCAATTGATACAATGTCTTTCAAATAATAAACACCAACTTTCAAAGTATCTTTATTCTGTCTGAATCAAAGATTTCGTATATAAAGGGAAAGTAGTAAAGAAAACATATGTGAAAACCAACACGAAACTCAACTCAGATGTTTTTGAGCAATTACGTTCGTAAGACCTTTCCAAAAAGTCAGTTCGCTAAACATCTTTCGGGCTTGGAAGATATTGGTTATAAACAAAGCGATATAACAAGATGAAACTCGAAACAAGCCTTCAACATTGCTTGTGACTTCCTCAGTTTCTCCTGACATTCCTCTTTCTCCATTTGTTCCAGTGCTAACTGAGATTGAATAGATTCCAAACGAGAACGAAATTCTGTAAGTACCGTTTGACTAGCCTAAAAAGAGAAAGGCAAATTCACTTTTCTACTGAATAAGATATGTAGTCATTGCTCCTATAGAGATACTTAGCAGTTATTATATTGAACTGGATTTGAATATGAACCCATTACAAATCAAACATGATTCAATGGAAACTGAACATTCGCTGTTCTCATGTAAAACACCTACAAGAAATTTCAGAAATTAAACCATAAACAAAAACTGTAAACAAAATGAACAAAAAATAATCACACTCTAAATATTAATAAATTTAGAACTCTCAATGAAAGAACTAACTTCTAAGTGCTTAACAGTCATTCTGTGTTGTTCCTCACGTTCTTTACCAACCTTCTTTTCGAGTGACAACTGCCGTTCCACTTCTGTCAACGAATGCTTCTACAAACAGAACTAATGAAAAAAAGCAAGTTCAGAAATTCGTAAAATTTTACTAAATCTATTAAAAACTTCACAAAATTTTGTAAATTTTTATAGAAAAACCTCACTAATAAATCCGTAAATGTAAATAAAAGATCGTTTGAAAAAAAAAAAGATTCTACTTCCCATCGAAGACTCACCATATTTTGTAAGTATTCGAACTGGGTGCTCTTTTGTAACGTATTTTTCTCTACTAATAGCATATTATTCTGCAGTAAAAGAAAATTTGTCGACCGGTTAATATAATTTTAATAAAGAATTTGAATAGAGTAATAAAATAGAGCCATTACACTGGAGTCGTGAAAGGGGGCTTGCTATAGTTTTGAAAACAAATCTTAAGAATAAAATTAGAAACACATTTTTTGAAAAGCCTACAAATAAATTTAAACAATGCAAGAATCCAAATTATTTTTTTCCTGCTATTCATTGTTCAATATTAGTAAATTTTAAGCAGCTTTTCAACTAAAAAAATATACAACACAGACGTTCCGAAAAAAAAAAAATTAAAATATACCTGCACTTCAAGTCCATCTATTTGCGCTTGTAGTCGTATTAATTGCGCTTCTCTTGCCGCATATCGGCATACAGCATCATTCTTTTCTTTTTCGACTGCTTCTATTTTTTTCAGTAGCTGTAGTGAAAAATATACTGCAGACAAATTTAATAAACAGGATGATGTGTCCCACTAGAAAAGTCTTTTAAAAAACCACAAAAATCTTGATCTTTTCTTCTTCAAATAAAATAAATAGTCTAGAAACTAGAAAATATATAATGGAATAAAAGAGAAATAAAAACTATTTCCATCATAATACAAGGTTAAATATTCATTATCATTTTATCTTGAAAATATCGTCGATATTTTTGCTCAGATTGCTTCTAAGAAGAATGAAAAGTTGCTGATAATTAATATACCTGCACAAATTTCTGATCCCATTTCGCATCATTCTGTTTTATGCGTTGCTGATAATGCTGCTCACGTGCTTCAGCACGTTGAGTGGTCATCTTCAGTTGTAATTCTACGTCCACTACCCGACGTTCCAAACCTTGACGATGAGCATAGAACTCACTGGAAGGAATATTAGAAATATACGAAATTATACCTCAGACGTTAAATGCCAAACAACCACAAAATTTTCTTAAACTGATACGAACTACTACAGAGAGTAAGGCCACCGAGTGCTCCAAGTCAAATGAGAAAAAAAACCTTCGGCAGCTATTAAGTGTTTCTTGAGTGCTATCATATTCTCGTCTCACTTTCTGCAATTGTTCTTCCAGTTCACCATTTACTTTTTCTAATCTGAAACTTGGGAATTCAGAAATTGAAATCTTCCAGATTAGATTAGTGGAGGTTCACTGTCAACTACTGATTTAGGTCGAGCAAATAGTCTAAGCAAATTATAGACGTTTCCCAAACTAAGCTGCCTTACAATCTAATGAAAAATGCATTTTCATGCGCAATATCAATCAAGAACCGGAATAGCTCTTCAATACTTTCCGGAATCCATTGCCCGTATAGGATCAAGACAGTCTGTGATAACGGCAAGACTTGATCTAATTAGTCTACTAAATGAAAAATAAGCAACCTTTCTAATTCACTGCACTGTGTGTTATATTTATCGTATAATAAGGTAAACTTCTCCAGGTTATTTTCTGTCATAAGTCCTCCCGTAGCGGTCCCTGACGAAATCTGCAATTATTTGGACATTCTTTAGATATATATCCAGCAATCAATAAATTTTGTAGCTTGCATGAAATAACTCGAAAATCAGGACACATACTACTAGTTATTGACCTTTTCCCCACCATCCTTTTGCATTGTCAATTTTTGTTCAAATTGTTCCTGCTGTGTTATAAAGCCAACATCGAGTTTATTAATTTTTTCCAAACAGCTCGAAACATCATTTCCAGATTCATCTATTTCAGCTGTTTTCGAAGTCCCAGCAGTTGAAACTGAAGCTAACATATGTACCGCCATTTGATATGCCAAAAAATTACTGTAGTTAAGAGCATGGAGCAGCTCCTGAAGGTTAAAATTTTTTAATTAAATGGTGATGGAAATAGCTTCGTGTGACTAAATAAAAAAACACCCGGAATCAGTCGCAAATCCATGTCAGTCAAACAAGCACCATCTAACACCAACGCGTTTAATCATGGAGTTTGAAAAAACCCAATATCACGGGCCGTTAATCGTACCGTCGCAGAGACTAAGCTGTGGATTTCATAGTCACCTCGTGCAACAAAGTTGGTGGGTGAATTTCCTTCTCCTAGTACATCATATCACATGTAACACCCATCAAAGTCCCAAACATTGGAGGTTTCCATATCACATGAACTTCTCCATCTTAATGTGTATTATCAAAGGATGGGAAGAGAAATTTATTGTTGAAATATATAAAAAGGATATATTGAACACACGCCTGCAATTAATATCGAGTCGTTTTGCAAAAAACTTTAAAAACGCAAATGTGAAAGAACGAAAGTATAGCACATTAATACCAAAACAACGTAGACAAAAGGGATGGAAACGTTGCCAGAGTAGAAGGGAGAAGACAATACCGCCACCACCAATATTTTCACTCAACAGTGAAACCCCATTATCATGCAAATCAAGTTCCTTAGTGCTGTCGACCTCATCTCAAGCTGATACACATCAGAAATAATTTTCTATCGCGGTCACAGATGGTTAGCTAGTTTTAAAGAATGGTACCACTGTTGAGCAAAAAATAGAAACAGGCTAACTGTAACTCTAAGGTATAATAACAAAAAGATCCTAGTATTGCCAGCTTATTTTTAAAAAAAATTCCGATAAGAACGAAAATGGAAGAGGCAAGTAAAGCCAAAACACAAGAGGTAATGGTTTAAGATCCTTGTATTTTCCACGCTTTTCCAGTAGCTAAACTATATTTCTGGTTTCAATTATTTAATGCTAGAAACCAAACATATACGTAACATTACTCGCTACTTGGGGATTTTATGAGGATACTTCGTGAATGAGTTATTTAAGCATACATATGTCTGAGAAACTACGGATCACTGTACATGATAATAAACTAATTCATCCAATTTTGAATAATACTTTGATTTGCATTATGTCCGATTCCAGCATATAGCACTCCAAGCTTAGTGTTCATACTGCTTACAGGTTTAGTTAGATTTGATGCATCATTATATTAATAAAGAATGAATTAAATTCAAAAAACCAAATGATGCATTCCAATATGTATCGAAAAGAATATACGTGCTGAAAATTAAAATCAAAGTGAATCCGAGCTATATAAATTTTTAAAAATTTAGTCTCATAGGAAGAACTGAATTTATATTTTCAATCAAATCAACTCAATAAACTTTGATTCTTTTATTACCCAAAACTTTTCTCCGAAATAAATTATTCGAGAGGGAATTTAAAAAGAGCCGCCATCTCCATGTCACGAATTCCAAATTAGTGAAAGTTATTAAAAAACAAATGCCTCATAATGGTTGACGAAATGTGAATACAATATGTGCATAAACTAAAATTAACTAAAATCAAATATGTAGCGATGTCTGAAATCCGGTAGCACCGATAACTTTCGACCAACTGTCAACCTGAAAAGATCTCGGAGATATTTGAAAAAACGGACTGATGACATTATGCAGACTTATATAAAATTACATGAACTGAGCTTTCACCGGCTTCACCAGCTTTCATATTCGCTGGTTCCAAATTGTGAGCTTGCAAAAAACAAAAAATATGTCAGGAAATTTTTAAATATACTAAATATATACTATATGATGAATAAATCAACACCTGTAAACAGATAAAGTAATGAACCAAGCATGTAAAAATAAGAGCAAACAATAAACAACATATGCTTACCCAACAGCAAAACCGATTGCAAGGGTAACCAAATTTGTTACCAGATAAAGCACCAGTGCACGACGCCCATTACCACTTGTGCCCAGCAATTCACTAAATGTCCATCGTCCTTTTTCACAAGGTCCTATAAAACGTTACTTTATGTCAAGTGTGAGTCTTGGAGTGGGAGATAAATCTCTAAAAACAAGTTTGCATTTGTATAAAATAATCTGTAGCTATGCCATTTTTCTTAAAATGCTTGTAAATATGACTCAGTGAGGTGCAGGAATGAAAACATAAATGTGGTACACCTAGAGACCATGAAAAACTTTCGGTTACTGAGCGTATCAAATAATGTATCATAAACCTTTATGATATGCTTCATAGCTGGTACTAGCTCTTGCAATAACACAACTGTAACACTGAAATGAGTAACAAACTCATCTGGATCATATAAAGAAATAATAATTAACACGACAACCATCTACCTTCTCCGACATTTTGGCATTTACACACGTATGCACCATCATTCTCGATACTCAGTTCCTCATCCTCATCTTCACAACAGCTGCTCTGAGTTAGCTCTCCAACATCTAATCCAGGGACGAGACTATTTGGCGGCGTCGACATTTCCGTTTCCACCGGTGATGGAGTTTGAGGGCCACTGAATTTTGCGTCGATAAAATTATGTACAAATTAAGACCAACTCAAAAATAAAAACCAAACTTAAACATAAATGCAATCAAAGGAGGGAAGGGAGCAAACGAATCTTAATTTGTACATAATTAGTAAAGACTACAATATAATGCCGATGGTATTTTCTTTATTTAAATATAATTAAATTGAATGCTTCAAGAAACAAATTTCATTAAGTAATGCAATCGATGGATGGAAGATATCACATCCTCTCTTCTGCGCAACACTTCTCAGTTTTAACTCCACTTCTGCTTCATTTTCTAGCAATTAAACTAACCCTCTTTGCACTTCCGGTCGGCTATTGTAATCCTCCAACCATTCAGCTGTTCTCTTCGTCCCTTGACCCAACCCCCTGACACCAGCAGTTGCAACAGTGCAACGTCCTGGTCCCTGGCGAGTATAATGAACCGCCAAAGTATCACCACCATGAACTAATCCAGCATCGATAACCAATTCAAATGGAGCACCGCAGGCACTGGTCGGGCTATAAAAATTTGTACAATTAAATAAAAGAAATAAATGTTTCCGCCTTAAAATATATGTAATCCATTTAAATGTGACGACATCCCACTTATCTAAGATGAAATTTGGTTCACTGGCTATGAAGCCAACTTTTAAATTGATAATGTGTAATTTTATGAAGCGGAGATGAAACATGTAAATATGAAGGAATCGTTACCTGAGTCGATTGAAAGGACTACTATTACCTCCGCCAACAACGACAGTCGTATTATCAACGCCCATAATCATCCCGTCATTATCCACCAATATGGCACTACCATTATCGCCTCCATTCATACTAACCATGGATGCACGTGATGATGGATTAGCCAATTCAACCCATGAATCGGCTTAAAAATAAGAATGCTAAATGACAAATACATGAACCTGGAGAAAAAAATAAGAAAGACAACTGCTGCAGCTAATTATATACGAAACGTTCAAGTATCAAGGAATTAGATGTCAACAAAGGAAGACTCCCAGTTGCAACCGCATTACAGTTACTAACACTTGTTAGATTCATTATCAATATCAACATTGGGCGACTGTTGCTGTGATTGCTGGGTAGGACCAGTGTTGTACAATAAACTTCTATTGGCAATATCTTGTCCATTTCGCAGAACTTCCAGACGACTATCCACCGACCGTATACTCATACTTTTTTGTCCACCTAAATGATAGTAATGAATGGAAAGAAGAATGACAAACGCAAGAATGCGGAAACGCATAAAACTGAGTTGGATGTCAATGTTTTTTATTTTGTTCCAGGCAAAATGAAATGAAGCTAAAAAAAATTCCTCCCAAACCTAATGTAAGTCAGTGTCTTTAGAGCTTTATAAATCACAGCGGAGCAAGAGCAGTAGAAATGGCGTCTGATGGTTGGCACTGTCCGGAGCAAACTCACGATACTACCTACCAACTTCTCCCATCCCGCTCCTCCTTCTTCCTGCTTAGGGACGCTCACAACAACACTAAAACAATATTAGCAGTGGAGGAATCGCGCAGTTTATTGATTTCTGGCCACTTAGCACCCTGCCGAGTGTTTAGTGCTGAATAGTGGTTGGGAATGAGTGAGTGACATCGGTGGGTCGGTCTTTTTTTCATCGAATGACTGGCGGTTTGTTAGGTGTTACCTCCTGGAGGATGTGTTGTTAACTTTTTGCTAGAAAAAATTAGATCTCAGAGAGACACAGAGGAAGAGAGACGATTAAATGGTTATCTAAGGGAGCTTCACATTAACCGTTCCTCGATAAAATCTTAGGTGGTAAACTTCGATTACGACCGCTCTCAGCATCGGAAAATTTTTAGGATGATAATGCGTATGAGAGGGAGAGGGAAGAAAAGTAGGTGACTATGTAATATCGCGGTAACTAACAACAAGTAGTGGTAAGTTCCGTTGGCAGTTTTATACTCCCGAGCATTCTCGTGCTGAACACGTGAAGAAAAAAGCCACAAAAGGTACGCTGAGTTATGAGCGTACGAGAAAGGAAAAACAGGATTTCCAGGTAGACCGACATGGCGAATCACATACAACAGCTGGCTAGCTGCTGTGAATAACTAAGAGTATTTGGTCACAGTTGAACAAATGTCATTCTTGATTAGCTTGAATATAATTTGCTTTGTTCGCTCGCAGGCGGCCATTCTCAGCAGTAAAAGGCGTGCAAGATATCCTGGGTGTTGCTCCTTTTTCTGCCCTTTTCCTTTCCCTGTAAGTTATGTAAACAACTGTGCATTAACTTTGGATTGAACGTACAAATAATTTGGATCTGTTTATTCATCTGTCCAGTTATCTATTCACTTATTTCTTAAGACTATGACTGACCTATTCGATGTGAGACAGTGCCCTACATTGACCGAAAGGTTTATTGCTGGAATAACAAAGTGGAAGAGCGAAGATCTTTCTACAAACGGACTCTAAGTCCGAATAATTCATAATTATAAAGGAAACGAACTTATGATTGAGAACAATAATGGGAAGAAAGAGGACTAGAATTTGGGAAGTTTTTTTCAAAAAGAGAAGAGTGGCTCATTTAATGTGCGTCTGAGGAACTGTACTATAGCACTGTTCACCTTGGCTTATTCGCTTATGTGTCCGCACTGTAAGCAAGTATAATCAAGAAAATTCCCGGAAGGATGTCAAAACAAACACCAAATAAACAGTTGCACTAACATTAGGTTTTGTCAATTAAATTAAAAAGTGAAGTGGCAGTTGTGGCATGTAATGTTCCTGCAGTATTTGGTTTCACTTGCACCATCAATGGTCAATGAAAACAGATGGTAGGGACGTCTTATGTACACTGACTTTCAGAAGTTAGCACAGATTCATCAAGACATTAATGCCAATACTTGTCTAATTTAGGTTGTCTTGCTGATTAATGAATTCAAATTATTTCGAACACGATGTGCTTGTCTATGGACGTTTTTCCTCGTCTTTTGCTTTAACTCTTTAAATCAAGATATATAATCTGACACTCTTTAGCCAAAAACAACCTAATATGCCTTTTGCGACGCACTATTTGAAGTTAGCCTACCTTCGTAAAAAAACATGCGTCCACCTTCATTTTAACATAATACTGATTAACCTCTTCTGCATGAACTTGAAAACGAATTTACATGACCGAGGAAAATTCTTTCAGAAGCTAAAAATTACTTAACAACTAGTAACTGTCCAAAAATTCATGACTTAAGCCTAGTATTAAGGGTAAATGATACCCCAACGCCCCAATTCAGAATACCCGCTAGGCCTTCTTTCATAATTGAAAATGTTGTAGTAAATAACCAAGATACTAAGAAACTTTTTAATTAGGCAAATACCGTTACAGAAACTGCAAATTGAATCACTTGCTAAGAAACGTAGCAAATAGCAAGTTGTTCTAACTTTGTCCTCATTAAATACATGCATGACTGTTTTCGTACAATGATTATCCATCGACAAATATAGTCAAACTATAGTGTGATGTCAAGCGTAGTAGTACAAGATTTGTATACTATATATCTGGGTCTCAGAATGGTTCACTGTAATAATAGAAGGAAGTAAATTACGGATTAATCTCAATATATGAAGAGCAAGTACATAAAATTAGTAGTAGTTCAGTTGAGTGCGAATCAGTAATACTTAACCATTTTGCGTCTTTGTTAACATACCATTGAAGAGAAAACCGATCTCTGATCGAAGTAGATGAAAGTTGTGAAAGAAAACGTAATATTAAGTCCCTTTTTGACTTCTTCCTACTTGAAAATACGAACTTTTATTCAAAAACAAACGGAAAAGATTGCTGCATAACAATGCCCTAAAAGTTCAAAACAAGTATCATTTAACTATAGATCATCGACTGATTAATGGGGAATTTCAGGTAGTGTACTTCGTCTCTCCTGAAATGTGGTAGCAAGCATGTACAGCATAAAAGATATAAACCATTTTTCGTCATTTGAAAACGAAAAAGTGATGTGACAGTGAGTATCGAATTTGTGCTGTTTATGATGAACACCTTGTCAATCGAAACAGCTGCAATAACATTTCATATAAGGCGGTCAGACTGAACCACCGTCTGTCTGTGTATTGGGTTCATTATGCAGGTTCAATGCTCCTTCACTGCTGTATTGCCAGCTTCCTCACCACATCAAACAAGTCGTCAACGATGATCTGCACAACTGCATCCGATAAGAAGAGACCCTTCACAAACACATTTGTCTATACTTAAAACTCAATACAGTTACGATGGCGTGCGCCGCACTTTACCGTTGCTGGCTCGGCGGTTTCGTGAATGCCGGTTGTGCTTCATCTGAAACGACTTGTGCTAGATGGCATGTTGTGGCCATACGTACGATATAGTCTGCGCTTCGCTTTATATTATTGTTTTATTAGCTATATTCATCAATGCACAATTCATTTAGTGATTAAATTAAGCAGCTCCAAATAAGTCTGAACAAAAAGAGAACCTCCTGAAATCATTTCGCTGCTTCGCTAACTAACAAATTGTCAAGCACTAATCTAACAGTTATGTTGCATTGAACCCACGCTACCATATACTTGATCACCCATTGACAATTTTTCTTATGCTTCTCTACTTATGGCCCGATCGGGATTAACATTCATCAAATCTTCTGGCATTATCGATTTACTAACGATAGTACTTTTTTGAGAAAAGAGGGACGAAGCTCAGTTTAAGTCTAGTGGCATCAGTGGATGGAGTTTTGGCTGAAATTTGTAGATTGAATTAGCGTCCTGCTGTGGTTGCCTGTTTCCATCAGTTAGAGCTGGCAGAATCATTGTTCCGTTGTAAGATGAGTTAACAAAATGTATGAACAGTGTTATCTGTTCCTTTTTTCCAATGAAAAGATCTCGAACAAGAAAAGGAATAGATCTTTTCTGTTCGAGAAGAATCGAAGCTATTATTTGTTTTGTTCATTTTGCACGTGACGAAGTGCAGTGGAATGGAAAGGAGGAATTAGAGAGAGAGAGAGAGAGAGAGGGAGAGAGAGAGAGAGAGAAAGGAGCGATGAAACGTTTAACTGAAATAGTTGGAAGGATCCGTTTCTGTCAGCATTATTCATTTCTGTGTATTCGGAAACCAATTACCGTCATTCATCCTTGAGCTTATCGTTGATGGCGTCTTTGATAACGTTTCATTTTGCAGAATTTTCGCTGGTTTGGTTTGAAATTTGTTTGGCTCAGTGGTTATTGAGCATAACTGAGATGCAGTTTTTATTTGCTTGTCAAGGGTTCCGTCTTTGACTTTTCCGTTATGATTCTATAAACGCTCAGTTATTAAAGGTTCTATAAACGGAGCAAACAGTTAATTTCCTAATCCAATTTAATAATTATCATGTAAGCTCTTCGGCTTATACTTACACATTTATTGATTTCTTCGATGCATGACATGAGATTGTAATAGTGTAGTATTGTAATGATTATTGTAGGATTGTAATGATAGTAGTGAAACATTTGCATAACTGTGCTTTACTTTTTCTTGGTCTGATCAGCTCTGTAAAATTAGCTTGATATTACTTTGTGCATCAGTATAGTTCACTGAGTTTAGACAACTATGTATCATTCTATTATTGGTCGAACGTTATTTTCGCAGAACTGAAATAGGACAAAAAATTTTGCGAAGTTCAGGTGTTTTCAGAAGAGCAGAGAAGAGAAAAAGGCATCAACACTAGTGTTATGGCAGGACTGATAACAGAATTCAACACTGCTGCACCAAATTGGGAAAGGAAAAGTGACCGCAGCAGTGTAGTAACCAGCCCCAAATTTGGGCAGTCAAGTAATGAAGTAGTGGAGGAGGTATACATTCTTTGATTGAATTGGAAAGTCTAGAAAATTCAAGATTGAGTATATTCCATATTTGCTTCTTTTCTTTTGTAGATCTGCAAGTATATCATTAATGTGTTTAAATGTTACATCGTTCAATAATTTCTTCCTTGGGTTCAACAGGTATTGAAATCGTTCCCATTACCAGATCATCCAGCTCCAGTGCAGGTTATTGAAACTCTTGACGAGCAACACCAATTTCGTTTAGATGAGGCGGCGCTGGAAAAAGTTCTTTTAAGCTCAGATGTTATAGACAAGAAGGTACGCTGTAGACAATCTAAATAAAATTAAATATTATATAAGTACTAATTAGCACTGTTAAACTAATTTCTTATTTCCATA